CCGCATCTCTGGCCTGTACCCCAGTTCTATATGAATAAAAAAAAAAAAAAAGGAAAAATTCAACGCAACAGCAGGCGGGTGAGGACGGAGGACCGGCATGTCCCAAAATAGGACGGTTCTGTAAAACATCCTTATCTACACTGAAAACCACTATCAGCTTTTGCTTGTTTATATTCTTTCTTTTTTTAAAGATTTATTTATATATGCACACAAGAACTAGGATGTAGGTCAGAATTGTGTGAGAAGATTCACCAGACTCAGAGTGAGCAGAACAGGCAGATGGGCTGAAACACACTACTGAGGGGAGCAGCGGTGAGACAGGAGAGGTCTGCTGCGCCCTGTGGGCCCCCTGGCCGGGGGCTCAAACTCGTGCTGCAGTGGCTGGCAGTAGCTTGACAGGGCTGTGTCTTAAACCCCTGTGCCTCCAAGGAGGCCCTGCTTCTTGCTTTCCAAAGAAATGAATGAAATCCTCATGTCTGCATCTTTAAATCAAACTTCGAGCTGTTAGAATGTAAGTGAATGAGAGAACCAGAGTTTGCACTCAGAAGTTAATGAATAAACCACCAGAATGTCAGGAGTGAAGACAGTACTCAGGTGTGTGGCATGCATAGGCAACGGGACCCACAGGATATCTCCCAAGTGGCAGGAAAGGGCTAGAGCAAGAACGCTGCCAGCCTTCCCCCTCTAGACACAGCTGAGATGGAAGGTTTTCTTTTAAAAAAAAAAAAAAAAGATTTATTTATTTGCACATACAGAACTGGGGTGCAGGCCAGAGGCTCAGGGGCGGCGAGAGGCTTCACCAGAGACAGAGTGGGGAGCAGAACAGGCCAACTGACGAAGGACACTGCTGAAGGGAGCAGTGGGTGGGTCAGGAGAGGTCTGCCATGCCCTGTGGTCACCTCCGGGCAGGTGGAGATTGAACTCATGCGGAAGCGGCTTTAGATTCTCAGTGCTGTGCTTTAACCCGCTGAGCCACCAGGGAGGGCCATGGAAGGTTTTCTTTCAGAGAGAAGAGAAAATCCTAGATTTAGGTTTGCACTGGTTGAGTTTTAATTCCTTACTGAATAAATGTAGTAACTCCAAAAGTCTATTTTTTTTAAGTAATGAAAGAGTCTAGGGAGAGAGTAAAATTGATAGCTAGGTGAGATCTAAAAGGATCTTGAAGTACATCCATCTATAATAAAGTCCATGCACTGAGCACTTTTATTTTCTAGAATATAGCTTTTCTTGGGGGCTGCATTCATTCCGAATCCTTCGCAGTCAGGCTGAATACCCAATGATTTTATAAGCATGAATTGGAGGCTGGAGATCTATCTCCTCAGCAGAATTCGGTGACCCACTAACGGAGCAGGGGAAGAGACACTTCATCATGTCTATGTGTCTTCTTTGTACAGGGCCAAAAGGCAATCATCTTAAGCCTCATTAGAGGACTCAGCTGACTTTCTCAGCACAAGAACTGACTGATGATGGAAAACTTTCGCCAGCTAATAGAATCAGTTACCAACTTTGTATTGCCAAGAATAATTCAAGCTTGATTAGTTAACATAATTAACTTTCTTCCTAGCCACTTCCCTCTTCTACCTCTGTTTTCCATAACTACTTTTACCCCCTTGGGGCAAAAATTTTAGGCTTCTGCCTGGAACTGACACACAAATAAATGCTTGATTGTCTCTCTCTTTTTTTTTTTTCTCTTTATGATCAAGTAAGCATGTTCCAATCCTTTAACAGGTATGGATTTTATTTACCCAGATAAGCTTAACAATGTAGAAAATCCCTTATTAATTTTTGAATTTACAAACTGAATCTCAGATAGATGAACTAAACAGTCCAAGGCCATAGTAATTCAGAAAGTTGATTGGTGTTAACTAATCAAGCTTGACTTATTGGTATGTATTGATATCGTAATGATCCTGACTGATGAAAATGGCCCTGAGCTTGTATGACCCTCACTGATCCACGTGGAGACAACTGAGAGACAGAATCCTCAGTTAACACTTAAATGAGCAACCCCTTCATCACAATGACGGGCATGTAAAGGGCAAGGACAGATGAAAACCCAGAGGTGCCCAAGGCTCACCTAAATTAAAATGAATCTGTGGTCTTAATATATGCCTCTGATAAATCTGGCACCAAGTTAAGCTAATTTGAGATGTTGATGAACTCCACACCCAAGGTTCTGAAGGCTTCTTCAGGTTTTGCCAGAAGCCTCCAGGGACTTTTCCATCTGAGAAGTGGTTCTCCCCTCCCTGTGACCACTGGGCTGCCAGAAACTCTTCAGACCTGTCCCACCACTCTGGGCCCCTGAGCTTTGCCAAGTACATCGCAGTCCCACCCCTGCCTTTTACTATCAGCGAAATGCTTTGTTTGTATCGCTGCAGTGTCCATACTTCCAAACTCCCATTCCCTGCAAATTCACACTGTAGTGAGAAGCACGTGGCTCCAATTGTCAGTGACCGCTCTCTGCTCTAGCAGAAGTGTACACTTTTGAGAGGCCAATTTCATATTACAGCCATATATCCATTTCTGATACGTGGAATATTTACATTGAGTTTGTCTGAGTCTCAAGTTGGCATATAAGAGGAGGATTTAGAAGTGGACATGAAAAAAAATGTGTTTTTATTGCTCATGTGATTGACCTGAATTTCCTCTTTATGTCCGAATTATTTTCCATTACTAGATGGGGAGTTATTTCATAGGGAGCAGTCCCCGAAAAATCTGCAGCAGTAGCCTGACCCTATAAAGACCTGCTCTCCCATTTGGGGGCTGAGATTTCACCTCATGAACTATCAGTAAACCTCCTTAGGTCTGATAAGGAGCCTCCATTCTTTCCTAACCACGATAAATGATATTAGAGATCATTTATACAATTCTTTTTACTTAAACAACAAAACAATATTCCAAAGAAATTGACTGCCGCCCTTGAGGTCGTGGGTCCAAGTTGCACTGGCATAGAAATTCCAGCCTCCTGGCCCTAGGTCTAGAACTCTTTGCTCCCTTCCCCCCCACCCCAAACCAGGTTGACTAATTTAATGTAATGTGCCAGGTTGCCCACTCGGGTACTGATCCATAATCCCACAAAATCTTTGACCACACAAGCCTATGGTCTTCAATCTCAGATCCTTTCGCTGACATCAACAGAGCTCACACCTTTGTGCTACAGTTCACACATAGGAACACACAAGTGACTTCATCCTGTGTCAACACAGTGTAAAGGCCATGACCAGAGTGAGTTTCTCCATTGTTTCTTTTATGTTTCTTTTACCTATTCCTTTGGCTCACACACAACTCTTTAGAACTCAGTGGAGAAGGGCTCTTTGAGACATGTGCCACAGGTCCCTGATGACCTTGCACCACACAAGAATGATCAATGCATACTGAATGAGGAAGTTAGGAGATGGGAACAGGCAGTCAGGTTCAAAGTGCTTGAAGCCCCTTTACCCAACTGAATGAGAAACAGCAAAGACACATTTACCACAGGAAAAAAATTTCTCTTCCCTCTCTGGAAGTGATTGACACAAGGCCTGGGTAGCCTGTCAATGATGAGAAGACTTTGGGCCTGACCTGGTGCAGTAGCACCGAGGATGTATGTTACTTCGGGTGTCACATAACCTTCCAGCTTCTGTTATGCTGGAGACAGCTAGAAAGATCATGCCATGCTTGCAGGAAAGCTGAATAACACACAAATTCTCAAACCAGTTGGAAAGCCACAACTACAGCAAACACTAGCCTGGAATCTAAGAAAACTTGTCCTTCCAAGAAGAGAAAGACGCACGGATTTGCTGAGACAAACACAGAAGAGGGACAGGGCCTCAGATGGACTGAAAGCTGTGTGTGGACAGAGCAAGGGTCCAGGCCCCCAATGGACACAGAAGCAGGGGAGTTCAGACCCATTCAGTCCTCTCCATGGAGGTTCATGGGGTGTTCCAGAGAGAAACTGTGGTCAAGGCACCCTCGTTGATGTGGGGATGAAGGAAGGAAGGGGGTGTCATGGCAGAAAAGGCCAAAAGTCTGATGCCATTCTACCCGCCCCCCCAAACGGAGCATTAGCCTGTGAGAAAAGACAGAGAGAAAAGCCTGTTACCCCCATAGCAGACTCTGTATCTTGTGATAAAGGAACAAGGAGAGCAAGCACCCTATTCCCCTGGGGACTGCCACGAAACTGTCCCAGACCTGGACCCAGAGAGGCCAGGAAACCTCTCCCCTCCGGCACACACAAGCAAACACCACACAGCTAAAAAGGACCCGCCAAGGTCAAGGTGCATAAGAACAGCCTGAAGGTCAAACAAGAACTTGGGAAAACCTTACTGCCATCAGGCCTCCACCC